GTTAGGTCATTGTGGTACCTGGACTTGTAGGTACAAGTTCACCTGGTGTGCTGAGGCATACTCTGTTCCTGCTTAGCTTTGCTTTTTCTCTGAATATATAAAATGGAAGAATATATTATTACAGTACTGATACAAAATTATGAAAGTCATCATCCTTAAAAGCTTGTTTTTTACAGTATACAACCTCCCAAAAATTATATACTGTACTGATAATGAGAGTGTGCCTCTGGAGACTATCCCTGCCCCTGCCCAACCCCCACCCCCACTCCCCACCCTCATCTATTGAAGTTACATCACCCGGCTTTTGTCTCTTTGTAATTGAGTGTTTGCCATGTGTAATATTTATCATAATAATACTGCACTGATTATGTAGGTCACTGGCCTCTGTATTGGTTAATTTTGAATAAATATAATGAGTAGAGTATTCAGCATTTTTTTCTCTATGATATACTGCTCTTGCACTTTATGCTTAATATTCTCTTTATTCAGAATTATTTCAATAGTTATTCAAGTATCATTCACACACAATCCAGTAGGCATGCAAATCTCCAAATGTTTACCTGGCCTATAAAATGTGGCTTTTGATCTCTTGTTTTATCTATACTCATGTATGTGAAACAACTTACTTCACTCATGTACTAGAGATACCGTTTTCACTCTTCTCATATATGAGAAGATATCATTTTCACTCCACATGTGAGAGACAACATGCTCATTCCACTTATATGAGAGAGACATCATACTCACTCCACTTCTGTGAGAGAGACAACATACTCATTACTCTCCTGAGTTATTGTGAATCATTGTTGACATACTATCTGTTCACATGATCTAAAAACTCCTTCCTTTGTTTTATAAGCTTAAATGTAATGTACTTAGTAATTTTCCATTGGTATAGTAGTATTTTTCTTTAAAGGTTTTAGATTGTGTAATGTTTTATGTATTTAAACCTTCTGCTGTAATGTATATAAACATCTTAGCCTTTGTAATGAGTACTGTAACACTGTGTACATTTATTTGCAATATGACCTCTCATAACATGTGTAATTTATATTTATCTCACATCTGTCACATAATTATTCTTATTGATGCTTTAATGATGCAGTGCAGGTATGATGCTCTAAAGTATAGCACTTTTAAAAACAATGACTATTGTACTCTGCTGTTTTGTCATTATTGAACATAAAATATGTTGCTAGAAAGGTATTTCATGACACTATACCATTAAGAGAATAAGTTGAAAAATTTTGTTGTTTTTTTTCTAGAGGATTGCATGTCTTCTTTGGCTAATGTGTGTGTGTGTGTATGTTTGTGTACATGTTTGTGATTACATTTTTATTTTTTTCACCAGATTTGTGAATACAGAGGAAAGAGCTGTACCTTATATATCTTGTCATCTTTATTTATCATTATTACAATAATTTCAAAATTTTCAATTCTTGTCTTTACTCATGAGCTTCAGTGTTTACATGTTCATAAGTATCTGCATATATGGAAATAAATGGTATAAAATACCGACACAGTGGAAAAATAAACACAGAAGCAATATAATGTGATTGTTGATTGACAACATTTCACCCACTGTGTGGGCAAAACATTGTCAATAAAGGATCACACTACAGTGAAACCCTGGGTTTCGGCTGCCCTGAGAATCGGCCACTTCGGGTTTCGACTGCTTTTTTTTCGGCCAAATTTTGTCCTGCGCTTCGGCCGTTGCCCCGGGTTTCGGCTGGCGCACCAGACCTGTCCACCTGCCCGCACAGGCATCGTGAGCCAGTCTAGCATTGTTTATCCTTGAATGAACATTACCCTGCATGCTCATCCTGCCATCCAGGCAGCCATCCAGGCAGCCATCCAGGCAGCCATCCAGGCAGCCATCCAGGCAGCCATCCAGGCAGCCATCCAGCCAGCCATCCAGCCAGCCAGCCATCCAGCCAGCCAGCCAGCCAGCCAGCCAGCCATCCATCCATCCATCCATCCATCCATCCATCCATCCATCCATCCATCCATCAACCCGTAAATGGTCCAAACATATATATGCGTTTTTTTCAACATTTGATAGTATGTAATAAAAGTAGATCTTTTTTTTTTTTACATTTGAAAACGTGTAAAAAACTTTGATCTATGTGGGGAAGCTTGCCAGGATGTATGGCAAAAACAAAGCAACTGTCACTTCTGTCCTGGTGAAGAGAAAAGAACTCAAGGAAGCTGATGTTGCAAAAGATGTTGTCATGTTATCCACTGTTTGAAAGGTGCTTTGAAGTGACCTCGGACACTCAGTTGACCCTAAGAGAGTTCTGGAGGAAGCACTTAAGTATCCTCCATTGCATAAACATTATAGGTAAGGCTTAGGAGGGAGTGATTTCCAGGACTTTGAACTCTGCTTAGAGACAATTGTGGCCACACTGTGTCGTCCAGAGGGATTTTGAAGGGTTTGAGGCTGACCCCTGACCCTGCTGACTCTCTGCCTGTTGTGGAAGGTATTGTGGCATTGGGCAAGACCATGGGATTGGAGGTGAGTGGCGAGGAAGTGGAAGAGTTGGTGGAGGACCACAGGGAAGAGCTAACCACTGACAAACTGCAAGAGCTTCAACTGGAACAGCATCAGACCACAGCTGAGGAACTTGCTTCAGAGGAGGAGGAAGAGGGAGTGCATGAGGTGCCTTCTTCAGTGATTAAGGACATGTGTGCAAAGTGGAGTGAGTTTCAAACTTTTGTTAAAAAGTATCACCCTGACCAAGCTGAAACAAGCTATATCTGCAACATGTTCAGTGACAAAACCTTGTCCCACTTCAGGGATATCTTAAAGAGATGCCAGAAACAGAGCACTCTTGATAGTTATTTTGTGTGACAGGTGTCCAGTGTCTCTCAAGCTGGTCCTAGTGGCCTTAAAAGACAAAGTAGGGAAGTAACCCCAGATAAGGACTTGTTACCTAAAGTCTTTATGGAAGGGGATTCCCCTTCCAAACAATAAGTCCTCCCTATCTTCCAGATGCCAGCAAGTCTCTTAAATAAAGGTAAGTAAATGTTATTTTAAATGTTTATTTAAATTATAATTTATCAATTGCATAATATATATGTATTTATCTGTGTTGTTTGTATGTAAAACTATATATTTTTTTTAACACATTGGCCGATTCCCACCAAGGCAGGGTGGCCCAAAAAAGAAAAACTTTCATCATCACTCACTCCATCACTGTATTGCCAGAGGGGTGCTTTACACTACAGTTATAAAACTGCAACATTAACACCCCTCCTTCAGAGTGCAGACACTGTACTTCCCATCTCCAGGACTCAAGTCCGGCCTGCCGGTTTCCCTGAATTCCTTCATAAATGTGACTGTGCTCACACTCCAGCAGCACGTCAAGTATTAAAAACCATTTATCTCCATTCACTCCTATCAAATACGCTCATGCATGCCTGCTGGAAGTCCAAGCCCCTCGCACACAAAACCTCCTTTACCCCCTCCCTCCAACCTTTCCTAGGCCGAACCCTACCCCGCCTTCCTTCCACTACAGACTGATACACTCTTGAAGTCACTCTGTTTCGCTCCATTCTCTCTACATGTCCGAACCACCTCAACAACCCTTCCTCAGCCCTCTGGACAACAGTTTTGGTAATCCCGCACCTCCTCCTAACTTCCAAAATACGAATTCTCTGCATTATATTCACACCACACATTGCCCTCAGACATGACATCTCCACTGCCTCCAGCCTTCTCCTCGCTGCAACATTCATCACCCATGCTTCACACCCATACAAGAGTGTTGGTACAACTATACTCTCATACATTCCCCTCTTTGCTTTCATGGACAAAGTTCTTTGTTGAAGATTGAGACACTTATGCAGCATATGGGAATCTGCATAAGTGTCTCAATCTTCAACTTGTCGGTTTTTCAAACCATTCATCACAAAGTTCTTTGTCTCCACAGATTCCTAAGTGCACCACTCACCCTTTTCCCCTCATCAATTCTATGATTCACCTCATCCTTCATAGACCCATCTGCTGACACATCCACTCCTAAATATCTGAATACATTCACCTCCTCCATACTCTCTCCAATCTGATATCCAATCTTTCGTCACCTAATCTTTTTTTTATCCTCATCATCTTACTCTTTCCTATATTCACTTTTAATTTTCTTTTTTACATACCCTACCAAATTCATCTACCAACCTCTGCAACTTCTCTTCAGAATCTCAGAAAAGCACAGTGTCATCAGCAAAGAGCAACTGTGACAACTCCCACTTTGTGTTTGATTCTTTATCTTTTAACTCAACACCTCTTGCCAAGACCATCACATTCACTTCTCCTACAACCCCATCTATAAATATATTGAACAACCATGGTGACATCACACATCCTTGTCTAAGGCCTATTTTTACTCCCTCTCTCCTACATACTCTAACCTGAGCCACACTATCCTCATAAAAACTCTTCACTGCTTTCAGTAACCTACCTCCTATACCATACACCTGCAACATCTGCCACATTACCCCCATATCCACCCTGTCATATGCCTTTTCCAAATCCATAAATGCCACAAAACCCTCTTTACCCTTATCTAAATACTATTCACCTATATGTTTCACCGTAAACACTTGGTCTGCACACCCCCTACCTTTCCTAAAGCCTCCTTGTTCATCTGCTATCCTACTTTCCATCTTACTCTTAATTCTTTCAATAATAACTCTACCATACACTTTACCAGGTATACTCAACAGACTTATTCCCCTATAATTTTTGCACTCTCTTTTATCCCCTTTGCCTTTATACAAAGGAACTATGCATGCTCTCTGCCAATCTGTAGGTACCTTACCCTCTTCTATACATTTATTAAATAATAGCACCAATCACTCCAAAACTATATCCCCTCCTGCTTTTAACATTTCTATCTTTATCCCATCAATCTCAGCTGCCTTACCCCCTTTCATTCTACCCACTGCCTCACGAACTTCCCCCACACTCACAACTGGCTCTTTCTCACTCCTACAAGATG